GGGGGGGGGCGGACCAGTCCCCGTGCAAGAGCTGGGGGGTGTCCCCTCTCCTCCCCCTCTCCAAGGTCTGTGGTGCCTCAGGGGTTAAAAGGGAGTGGGTGCATGCAGCCGGGCACATCTCCATCCTCTGCCTCCCCCGGGGCCGGGCAGCTGGGTGCCAGAGGCTTGGGAGGGCAACGGAAGGGACCAGATGCATATTCCTAGTCCCTTATAGCCCCCCGGGGAGGGCAAAGAGTCCCCCCACCCAATCCAATGGCTGCTGCCTATCAGCCCCCTGCTGAGCTGCAGGCAGCAGGGGTGAGGAGGGGCAAGGGGTGCCCTCCGGCTGCCCAGCCCTGCCAGGGGCTCATTGATGTGCAATCAACACCCACCCCCCGGCAGCTCCTGCCCTCCCTGATGGCACGAAGTTCTCCGTCTTTGGAGCCAGGCGCTGCCTCTGCTCCTCCTGCTCCATGCACCCCTCCACCCAGGCACCAACCTACCCATCCGCCTGTGCACCCCTGCACCAACCTACCCATCCACCTGTGCACCCCCCACCCCTGCACCCAGGCACCCCTCCACCTGTGCGCCAACCTACCCATCCATCCGCCCGTGCATCCACCTGTGCACCCCTCCACCCTCCCTCCCTCCCTGCGGCCGGGGCGGCCCGCTGCAATCCCGGGGCAGGTCGGTGGCTCGGGCGAGAGCTGCCCGCTTCGCCCGGCGCGATCCGTGTGTGCGCGCGTGTGTGTGCGCAAGTGCCACCCCTCCCTGCCTCTCGCCCTCCCTCCTCCTCCTCCTCCTCTCTCTCTCTCTCACTCTAATGTGTGATCTGGAAAGCTTATAAAAGCCTGATGTAATCCTTAATGCAGCCCCTGGCTACACAGCCTGGATCTAGTGGCACAGCGAGCGAGCCGGGCACCGGATCCGCACGCCCCCCCGGAGCGGGCAGCCAGGCTCCGGCAGCCCCTCGGGGCCGGGACCACCTCTGCCCCCCTCGCTCGTGGGCTGGCGAAGGCGACTGGATGGGACCTACTCCTCTCGCGGCTGGGCACTGCGGGCTGCCCGCCAGCCTGGCGGCTCCCGGGAAGGGCAGCGCCGGGCTCCCCCCCTGCTGAGACCCCCAGCCCCCCCCC